TGAGTTACGGTAAATGGTCAAGGCTTCTGACTTCACGTCCAGGACTGGTTCTTCCGACCACATACCACCCAGTAACACTGAAGCCCGCGCGTGCTGTGGAGGAGCATCCTGGCAGGCAGGCAGATAAGGGATCAATCCATCAGTGATCTATTGATTCCGACTACGAGGCGGCACTTTCTGGCTCATGTCGTCACTCCCACAGAGAGCTTCTTCCAGACTTGAGGGATGTGACAGGAGATCCGAATGTGTCACTAACAGTGCAAAACCAGCATGGTGGGTGTGGAAAGCAAGGCTGTGGCAGTCAGACGAGGGAGTGTGGGCTTCGAGGAACCTCCATGGGGAGGCTTCCTGGAGGAGGCGAGCCTGACGCTGAGCCCGGGAGGAGGGCAGCCCTGGGGACCTGGGAGGACAGGGTCAGCTGCAGACATGGATGGATCATGAGGACAGAAGGGGGTGTCCTGGCACACTCAGAAATGCTGAGAGAGAAGGCAAAGAGCTGGTGGCCAGGGCTTGGTGCTGGCAGACGGAGGGAAGGCGAGGGGAGACGCTGCTCAGGATTGCCCAGCCCCATTCCCACCAGCTGGTCTGCAAGTCACAGCGAGACAGGATCCCACGGACACCCACTGCTGGGTCCTTAGATGAGGCTGTCACCCCCCACCCACTCCTGGTCTTCTCATTGCTCTCTGGCCTCGATCCCACCTCCCCACCCTTCTAATGGCCACCAGAATCCTCTGGCTAAAAGGCCAATGTCACCATGTCCTCACTTTGCTTCCCAGTGTCCTGCATACCATGGGTGCTTAATAAGTAATGATAGGCAGACTGACATGTATCTCGAAGGCAGTGTCTCCACGGCCAAGGCTTTTCCAGAAGGAAGCTGGTGAGCACCCCTCTCTTTCCTACTGGAACCCACGAAGGACGCCTCGTAGGTAATCACCCATCCCCAGTGGACAGCACGCCTTCGGGGAGGCCTGAAATGAACGACTGCCCCACCCCCTGCAAACCGGGAACAGCTCCCGCTGTGAAATGACGAGGTTAACCTACGACAGAGAGTTTCAAAAATGTCTTTTTTAGCTTCAGAAAAAACCAAAACCAAAACCAAAAACAAAAAATGGAGAGTGTGGCCTGAGGGAGACAGAGGATGACACTGCGGCAGGAGAGTGCCAGGCCACGAGGTCAGGCCCGAGGGCTGGTGGCAGGCAGACCCCTCACCCTGGGACGGGGGCCGCTGCCCCCAGCCTGTGATGCTTCTGCTGAAGGCAGTGTCCGGGCAGTGGGCCCCGCGCTGCTCAGGGTGGTGCTCAGGGAGGGGCTGCTTGAGTGGAGGAGGAACACCACACCCACGTGGGAGGAACTCATCTCCATTCCCGGGACCTACAGAACCGTGCTTCCTGGCGACGGGAAGAGCTCGCTGGCCTCCCCAGAAACTCCCAAACCCAGACGAGGCAGGAAGGAAAGTCGGATTTCCACGCACCAGCACTTATGGGACAGGCAGCTGACCAGGGTGTCCCCCGAGCTGTGCGCTTTCCATCATGTGCACACACACGTGTGAACACACACACACACACACACACACACATTGTCATGGGCTGAATTGTCCCCCAATGTTCATATGTGGAAGTCCTAGTCCCCAGGACCTCTGAAGGTGACTGTCCTTGGATGGGCCTTTGAAGAGGTGACTAAGGTAAAATGAGGTCCCTGGGGTGGCCCTGATCCAGTCTGACTGGGGTCGGGATGAGACGAGGAGGTGGGGGCACAGACAAACACAGAGGGAAACTGCGTGAGACACAGGAGTAGACGGCCGTCTGCTGGCCACCCTGGAGCCAGCTTGGCTGCTGGAGGAAGGAGGCCAGGCCTAAGCTCAAGCCTTGTGATGCAGGCAACTATATTCCATAGCTCGTAGTAACCTAGGATGCAAAAGAATCTGAAAAAGAGTATATATGTGTACAACTGAATCACTACGCTGCACACCAGAAACTAACACAATGCTGTAAGTAGCTCTATCTCAATAAAGAATAAGGAAGAGAAAAACAGAAAGAAAGAAAGAAAAAGACCTGTGATGGCCTGAAAGCCATGCCCTCTCCCCTCACAACTCTGAGAAGACACACCTCCTGCGGGCGCTGTGGGCCAAGGCCTCCGCCCGCACACACTGAGAAGCCCACGGGAGAAGCAAGGCTTCCCAAGCGTCTCTGTAGGTGAAGGCCGGGCACGTGGGTGCTGAGAAGGGGGACCCTCCATGAGATGCGTGTAAGCAGGGAAGCCGGGTCTCCCCGAGCCCCTCCCAGCTGGAGCGAGGCTGCCCCGCCTGGTACCCGAGCATCGTTGCCCCGGTCTCCTTAGCAGCACATGGCCGGCCAGGCAGGGCCCCACAGTGGGCAGGGATCCTGTTTCTCTTTACCCTGCTCCATCCCTCGTTCTCCCACATCGGAAGCGCCTGATCAATATTCGCTGATTGAATGAACGCATCTGGGGCGGCTTTGCACACACACGTACATGCACACATGCACATGCGCTCACAGAGGGACAGAGCAGGGTGAACAGGGATCTCCTCACAGATGAAGCCAGTGAGAAAGAAACCCAGCAGAAGGGAAAGGAAAAGAATCATAAACTGGCAGGCGGGTCTGAGACCTGACCGTGGGCGAGGTCTGCTTGCAAAACTCATCACTTGTGTTGAGTCCAGACAGGTCACGGACGCGGCCAGAACTGGCCCCTGCACATCCACTCTGCTGTGGGTCTGGCCTGGCGTCTAATTTGGCTAATTTGGATCTGGCCCTGGCGGTGCACCAAGGGGGCAGGGGTCACCTTCACCCGAAGTGAGGCTGGGTTTGGTTTCACTTACTGTGTGTGGAGAAGTCCTTCCTTCGCAGCTTTCCGCTCCGGAAACGTTCTGCTTAATGTCACACCCAGGGTCACAGGGCACCTTGCACAAGAGTTCACCGCCACGTGACCAGGCTGGGGCCTGGCGGCCGAGGACCGGGTGAAGACTGAGTCCTTCTCCCCTAGACTCCTCTTCACCTGGCTTGGCTCCTCCGTTTCAACAGGGCACCGGGTAATTCCAGGCAATTCCAGGACCCGAGGCCCAGCGATCGGCCGAGTGGGGCTGGCTAACTTCCTGTGTCAGTGCAGCCACTGTATTCCTGGACTGTGTGCAGTTTTGAGTCAGTGGGCTCCTGCTGCCCTCTAGGACCAAGAAACAGGTCCTGAGAGCAGCTCCCAGACAGGCAAGCGTTGCAGACAAAACCAGGCAAAACTTTGCAGGGAGAAGCTCGTGTGAGCGGTTGCCGAGTAGACAGTCACAGAGGCCACGCCGCAGGCCGCGCAGGAGACGCCGAAGCTGAGAAAAGTGGAGAGATGCAGCCAGCGAAGAGGGAAAGCCAGGGCTTGAACCTGGGTCTCCAGGCTCCAGATCCGTGTTCCTTTCAGCCTTCCATAAGGCCCCAGTTGTAAACGATGAGCGGTTCCCGGACAAACCGCCTCCTTGGAAGTCAGCCCTGGAGAAGAGCGATGGCCCCATGGACGGTTTACTCCGCTCCAGCGGGAGCCGCATGCCCGGCGTGATCAGCCCCATGGGCAGCCTTTGCTCATGCCGAGCTCCTGGCTGAGGACCGGAGTCAGCTGAGGCCCCGGCGAGGCACCGTGTAAACACATCGAGGGTAAAATCACAGGTGTCAGGTCCTCTCGCTCAGCACAGCCAGGCGGGCGGGCGCCTTCTTACATTCTTACAAAGCAAACAATGCATTTTATTGTAACAAACGTTCACTGTGAAGGGGTGAAGGGGGTCAGAAGGTACAAACTTCCAGTTTTAAAGTCAGTCAGCCCCCGGGATGTAACATACGGCGTGGTGACCATAGTCAATAATACTGTGTTGTGTATTTGAAAGTTGCCAAGAGGCGGGTGGGTGTAGCTCAGTGGTAGAGCGCACGCTGAGCGTGCATGAGGTCCTGGGTTCAGTCCCCAGTCCCTCCGTCAGAATAAATAAACCTAATTAACTTCCTCACCAAAAAAAAAATTTTTTTTAAGTTCTCATCACAAGGGGAAAAAGAATTGTAACTGTGTGTGTGACACACATTCACTACCTATTGTGGTGATCCTTTCACAACCGTTATGCTGCACACCTGAAACCAATGTAATGTGTCAATTATATCTCAGCAAAAGTGTTTAAAAATAGCAGTGAAGTTTAGTCAGTAACATGTAAACACCGGGGGGGGGGACCTTTGGACAGTAAATGCATAAAGTCGTACGGCAAAGGGAGTGTAATCATTAACAACACCCATGCTGAAACTCCTCGCTCCCTAAGACGGGGTCTTTTACGTTTTCACAGGACTGTGAACAATGAGCTGTTGCTACACCGGCCTGGCAGGAGGAGGTCAGCTTCATCTTGGCCGAAACTCCTAGATGTGAAAGTAAATTCTATAAAAATTACAGGGGTGACCAACAACTTCTAGCTTTTCAAAACAGAGGAATCATTCCTCAGTCATAGCACTGGGGTTTATCCATGGCAGGAAGCGCTTAGGAAATCAAAATATTAAAGGACAAAGATCATAGCCGAATGGTCATAAAAGTCAGGGGAAAACTCCGCTAAAGGAGTCTCCACTCCCACTGCCCATCCTTCCCTCCCCACCAGTATATTTAGTTCTGTAAGAAATGACCAAATTGTCTTCAAAGTGTCTGCTCTGTTTTGCATTCCCATAGCAATTAGCACGAGTTCCCGTTGCCCCACATCTCTTCCAGCATTTGGTGGTGTCAGTGTCCTGGAGTCTGGCCATTCGAATAGGGACGTAGCAGCATCTCATCACTGTTCTAGTTTACACTTCCCCAGCTGTATACGGTGCTGAGCGTCTTTTCGTGTGATATTTGCCATCTATAGATCTTCTTTGGTAAAGTATCTGTTTAGCTCTTTTGCCCATTTTTAAAACTGGGTCATTTGTTTTCTTACTGTTGAGTTGTAAGTGCTCGTTGTGTATTTTAGATACCGGTCCATTATCAGATGTGTGTTTTGCAAATGTTTTCTCCCAGTCTGTGACCTGTCTCCACTTTTCAGACACTCAGGAGGGCCGACGAGGACAGACACCCCGTGTCTCCCAGGCTGTGCTCCGTGTGTGCCCACGCTCTCTGGGCAGCAGGCTGACCGGGTCGGCCGCGTCTAGGCAATGGGAGGGAGTTTGGGAGGAGTGTCTTTTGGGTGGGGCGTTTCCCCTTCCATTGCACCAGCTTCATGCATCCCTCTGTTCATCCAGCCAATATGTAAGGTGTGCGTGTTACGTCCCCTGTATGATTCTGGACGTTGAGAAGGCAAAGGTGAGTCAGATGGAGTCCCCACTTTCAATAAATGCACAGGCCAGTCTGGAAGGAGGAGAAAGACATGGGTCATTTCAGCGCAGGGTGAGGAGTGGCTGGGGGAGGGAAGGGTGGGTGCCGTGGGGGAGGGGACGGTGGCGATGACAGGGGGAGAAAGAGGATCAGGGTGAAGGTGTCCAGGACCCCGGGCAGGGAGCACCCCCTGCCGGGCAGAGCCTGCTGTAGGCGTCCCGGGAGCGGTCCCTCCCCAGAGGGCAAAGGGAGGTCTCTCCACACCGCACTTTCACTGTCGCCGCCACAGCTTCCTCTTTGTCACTTTCACGGGGTCCCCAAACAGGAACTGCTGTGAGGCCCTGCGTCGCCCTGGGTGGCACAGCTCCGGAGACGGGTAAGGGGCCTTCACCCCGGCGGACAACCGGCGGCGCCCTCTTCAGGGCCGCAGCGACGACCACGCTCCGCGGAGGACCCGGGGGCGGGG